CGTTTAAGTGTGATTTTCAATTTGTTAAAGCAGTTTTCAGCAGGATTGAAATCTGGAGAATAAGTTGGGAGATAAACTAATTCAATGCCAAAATCATCCAGTAAATTAAAAAGCAACCTTTCTGCTTCGTGGTGATGAATCGGGGCATTGTCCACAACAACTGTATCACCTGGTGTTAACACTGGTTCGCCGTCAACAGTGAACGCTTCCGTTGCTTCAGTGAAAAAAATAACAAATTGGTTTGCATTTGATGGACCTGGAATTACTGATGCAAACATAGAGGCATTCAGACCAACTATAAAATTGAGAGTGTGATTCGGTCCTGCAATATAACGACCGATTTCAACGCACCGGACTCCTCCCTGTGAATGTCCATAAGCGGACTGTCCCGTGTTAATTTTCACTCCACATAAAACTAGATGCGCATACGAGAACGGAACGAGAACGGATACGTCACTGCTTTGTGCATGACCTCCGCGCGAACCAATGACGTCATCGGTTGCCTGGTCGTTCGGCAGTCGTTTTGAACGTGATCAAGGTGACTGACTCGTAGTTGATTTCCGAGAGCTTTTCTCGCTGTCAATTTTGAATAATTTTCATTGACATTGATAAAACGTTTTATATTAGAGTGTTTTTGAATATTTATGATGAAATAAGAAATATTGGATGCATTTTAGCTGACATTTATACCCACTAAAAACGCATGATATTGATCTGCTGAAAGAGGATTCGGCAAACAGGCCTGGGACCTCAGCAGAGTGGATGGAAATAGCGAGAGCTCTGTCAAATGTCTGTGAACTAACTACTAATTCAGATTCCGGATGAGAAATGACATAACAAATGTTATTAGTAGTTATTGTTGCCCAATGAGACGGATTGACATGGTTCTGGTTTCAGTTACGTTCCCGTTATGGGCGCTTGTACTTAAAGTGCCTGAGAAATGCCTACTATCAACTTTTGTTTTAAGCCCTGACTTGCCCATATTGATGATTTATGCCACTTTCACTTTTATAACTCGCGCGCCTATCGGGAAAACACGGCCCCGCATTCAGTAATTATGACACGCCCCTTTTTCGTTTTTGGTCGACTTT